CTTATAAGCAAAATCGGCAAATCAACCGTAGGCTTGGCAGATTGAGTAAGTGTGTACTTGTAAAGATAAATTAACCTTGCACCTCTAATTTAATAATTCTCCTTGCTTAGTGATTCTTAAAACGAAATAAGATGGCGTGTATATTTTTATGTCAGGCAGTGAAAAAACTCTATAAAACGTGTATATGAAAAGACTTAGTCCTTCTGATATGTAACCTTTTTTGGGGGTGTTAAGGAAGGGGTTGTGTTTAATGCAGAATAGAATTAGAAATTTCGAACAGAAATGAATATAATTGCTTTATGAAGTTCTGTAGTTAAGAATCTGTAGTCACCTAGGAATATGTAGACATTTAAGAAATTTTTATCTGTAGACAGATAGCTTTCGAGTACTTTGCCGTAATCAAATAAATCCAACCCAACTCTAATAGAATTTGCCTTATCTTTTTTAACTCCTTATAACAGCAGCAGATTATAAAAAAAAACTTATACATTATTAAAAAAATCTGTAGTAATTTGTAAAAGCAAACGGATTTATTATCCCATTGTTCATTCGATAGCACTGTGCAGTATTCTACTTTGTCTCTCTAACTTAAGAGTTTTGTATCTTTTTTTATTGCAAGATAATCTGGTATTAAAATTTTTCTGTCCGTAAAAAATCTTTCTCTTAATTATTTCAGCGAACAAAGAAATGAACAGAATGACACACTTTAAAAAATTTTGTATAGGTAACACTAAACTTAAAAACAAAAACACTATTATAAGAGATAAAAACGATAAATTTAATTTAGTAATGGGCAATAGCATCGGCCGAGATTTGTTAAAATTGGTTTTTGTCTTTATTCGAGCGTCCTCACATGAATTCGCATAAATAAGAGTCAAATAATGCACGACTAGTACCACAATCAAGGTAAAGCATGTCTTTCTTATTCGGCGCTTGTATTCGTATAACAAAAAAGATCCAAAATTTTCAATTAATTATTTTTTCCTCCCCTCCCCCTCATTTTCCGATTGATGTGACGGAAAGCTTATGCACTTTTGTTACACTGTATAATATGCTGGCCATAGGTAAACTGGAGCTCTTGTGCTCCTTAAATGTGGTTCGCCTTGCAGCCAATAGCAATCTAATTTTTGAAATTGAAATGTAAATTACATGTTGATTGACTCTGAGACATCTGTAATTTCATGTTGTGTCTTTATTATCACATCAAAAGCAAAGAAGCAAATAATTTCGTTTCTTCCTCTTGCCACCACAAAAATGCCGCCTTTAAAACAGACAGGGACTATGACGACATCAGAAAAACAACATGCTGCGTCAATGATGTCCTTCGAATCTTGCATAAAAGTACTACGAATAATGTAGTAATAGCTTTTACTCGGAAAAGGGGGGGGGGGGGCTATAATCTCATTACTTGATTAGATTATGTAAGATTTGATCTCCATGTGTTCGTCGTTGCGTTAGTTGTGTGAGAAAACTAAAATGCTTTTATATGCAAGAACTGGTAAATTGGCAGGTTATTTTAAAATAATTTTCTTGTTTGGAACTTCAGCTCTTTCGTAGTGCGTTCAATTACTTGCTTCATTCGTTTCATAGGAATACTTTAAATTATGAGCAAAAATACTTAGCGCTAATTTTTTTTAATTGCTATGCTATTCTTCCCTCAGTTGTAAAGGATTTAGAATTGTTTACGTCTGCTTTCGGTTCAGATTTACTACTTTTAAAACCCACTGATTTTTATAAAGGAAACTGAATAGAAGAAAAAAAAGTTTAGTTTACTAAATACTTCATATAAAATTTAAATAGTGCCCCGTAAAAATATGCTTTCTTGAATACTGAGTAAAAGTAATAATAATTTCATATCTGCAATTTTTCCGGTTTTTCGTATAGTCTTTGGATATCCCGATAGATGATCGAATCTCCCCGTTTTTAATATTTTGCCTTTACCAAGAAAAGTGTTTTTCAACAGTGAATGAAATTTAATTGAATGAATGAAAACTTAAATTAAGTAGGTTTTATTCTCCCATCCTTAGTGACTCTTTAGTCCAAAGGGGCTTTGTCCCTGAGGGTTTTCGTTTTGCGATTTTGCGTTGAATCACTATAAATGTCCGTTTCACTTTTCAAACTGTTGCCACCAAATGTAAGAGTCCTGCATTATATTTGAAGAAATTAAATAATGAAAAATCTGCATAAAATGTATGTATATTTCTCGCATTGTGATAAAACAACTGTACATAGAGCCATCGAATTTTGAATGACGTAATCCTCCTACGAATATGGGGATGTAGAAGACCAAATTTGAAATTTGTTTTATGATCAATTTCATATTTTGTAAAACTTTAACGAATTTTTGATTAACAAACTCAAGAATTTCAAAGCGAGCAATGGCAACACTCTACGGAGGGGGAAAAAAAACTTTTTATCTCCAGCGCGCGGAACTCTGTATCGGAAATTCTAAAGATAGGTTCATTTAAAATTATTTTGCGACATTGCTATTGAACTGAATTTTATGGCTTAAGTGCAAAGAACATGATACGTAATAAATAAGGGTAACACACAAAACATTTTTTTTAAAAAGAAAAGCGCCTCTTTGGGCGTAATATAAAATTGGAAAGCTTTCAGATTTTTTTTTTTTTTTCATATATATATATTTTTATTTCTTTGGAAATTAGCTTCAATCTATTTTATAAAAACATTTTTTTACCTTATATTTTTAAAACGGTATAAATTTTTAATTGCTTTTCTGAAATACTGAAACCTAACATGCGGCTCCTGTTGACATGACTTTTGGCCAGCCAATCTTTTTACTTCCTTGTACGAAGTAAAAAGGAAGTATTGTAATCGCGAAAAGCTTCAGGCAGCATATTTCAACGAATATATCCACTTTGACCGCTTTCGAATGCAATTTAACGATGTTTTTGCGTGATATCTGTACGTAAGGACAGAATAAACGACTCTTTTCCTCCAAAAAAAGTTATAAAACTGCTTTAAAATGAATTCTGAAGAGAATTTTTCGTACATCTGTACGAACGTATGTACGTACGTACGTATCTCGCATAACTCAAAAACGAGTCGACTCAGAAAGTTGAAATTTTGTATATAGGACTACTATAACATGTAGATGTGCACCTCGTATTTTGGTTGCAATCGGCCGCACCAAACGTATATAAGTATATTTATATATATATTCACTCTGTTACCCGGCTCAGTGATCTCAGTTTCTTTACTCTTATATGTTTGTAAATTGTACATTTTTTGCTTTAAAAATGATTGAATTATGTTATTCTTATCTTCCGGTTAAGGATTTTATGCCGTTAGTAAATCTGTATGCAATATTTTTAGAATTATCAACAATTTAAAAGTTGTTTAAGTGCCGCTAAGCCTATTTTGATGGCGGCCATTGCTTGTTTACATTTGAAACAGCTGAGTAGTGAATTCGTTGCCAATCTAGAGAAACGTAGCTTCACAACAACAAAGATAAACGTCTTCATTTATTATTGCGATTTAAATCATGCTTAATCCTTTCTGGAATTTTTTCGAGGAAATAAGTGTTTAAGATTTACTTAATTTTTAATAATTATTAATTTTTAGTAGAGATATTTTGAGTTTTTATGTATTTTTGCCTTGTCGCGAAGTGAGAACTGAATTAATTGAATGAGAAATACTCAATCGTCTGTGAAAAACTGTTTCTTTTTTGTTTTGTTTGCTTAATTTCTTTTATACATCGTTCTAGCTTTATTATGGTACTTGAATAGAACATGTGGCAACGATTAGATAATTCTTTAAATGATACAAATTTTGTGCATTCTGGGTTATAATATGAACGAAATATAATGCTGTTAAGTGAACCTAGCGCCAGAGTGTCGCTATGGTAAACAAATAGAGTGAATTTTAAAGAATGCACTTATTCTATTGTGGTTTATGCGCTGTCGGCGAAGTAGATATTATTAAATCCAATAAGTTTAAACAAAATGCAAGAAAAAATGCGTATAATTTAATATTCCGGACAAGGAAGTCATGTGGTGTGCACATCAGATTTTTTTATCTCAGGAGGATACGGGAGGCTTTCTCTGTCGCAGATGGATCTCTTTTCAGAAATTGCTTTCAATAAAAGTAACTGTTTACTACTAATGGCCTATCAAAGTATCAATTTTATCGGTAAGAATAGTTCTAGTAAAATGTATCTCGTAGTACCTTTTATGTCTCGTAGTCCTTTTTATGTGAATGCAAGTAGTACTGCATATTTATAGCGAATTAGGAATATCATCAGGTTTACCCAGAAATACTGATAGAATCGACGTACCGAAGTTCAACGCAGAAATTGCTTGAACTTTTTTACTGTTTCCGAAGATACAATTTATCAGAAAACAAAAATGAAATGACGTCAATCATAAATTTATTGTTTAAACTGATAAAGGAAAAATTTCGTGAGAGTTAAATGAAAAGGAATTTTTGGGGCATAAAACATGTCTAACGTCGCACCATTTCAGAGACCTGAGACCTGGGTCACTGTGTCACTGAATTTTTTTTTTTTTTTTTTTTTAACAAATCCCTTCAGTGTCCGTTTTTACGAGTTTGAAGTCGATATTCAGTTTCCCTCCTCGTTCATCACTTTCTATTGTGCCGGAACAGGTTTCTGTTATTAGGGTTTCCGGGTAGTGATGATGATGTAACAGTGAAGTTACCTTTAAGCTATTTGGAGGAAGCTGGGTTATCCCAGTACCAAGCAATTTTATCTGCTAGACGTAAGACGTGGGTATTTTTCCAATCTAAAGATGAAGGCTATATTTTTGCTTTCTCTTGCCATAAGAACTCGTGAAATTTGCTGATGTCTTTATGCCATATAAGAATGGCTTTATTGGTAGTTGTTAGTTATTAAGTTTATAGCATCTAAAGCTGTTTAAGACGTAAAAATAAAGTAGTGAAAACATAACTCAAATTTAACTCTTCCGGAAAGAGGTAAAAGTAATCGAAAAGTCGCTGTCCAGGAGCTAGAGCTGCTCTAGAGTGAGGATATTCAAAACCTCGTATGGCCAGTGCATTCTTTAGATCTGAATCCTATTGAAAATGTTTGGTATGCTTTGGGGAGGAGTCTTGTTGGTCGACAATGCCCTTTAAACAAGGACACCCTCATCTGTGCACGATAAAGGAATGGAATAAGTTATTACCACAGCTGCTGGATAATGTTGTGCAATGTATGACATGATGTGTGGAATCTTGCGTCGCCCTCCTTGGTGGCCATATCCTGTATTGATACCTTACGCCAGAATGCCTGCTGACGGTAACTGCATTTTTTTCACTTTAACCCTTTCCGGCAAGCTACGTTTTAAAGTCTGAGTTTTGATTAAAAAAAAAAAAAAAAAAAAAAAAAAAGTAGGCAGTCTAATTAGGCCTAGAGGAGTACCCAAGTAAAATTTTGTGAAGATAGCACTTATCGTTTTAATTCTGTGGGTGTGCCCAAAGTGGGCACACTGATTGGGAATAGAGCTTCGAAAAGAGTGCTGAAACGAGCATTGTTGTCAATCAATGAACTGACCGATGAGATGCGGTGAAACAAAGAGTACAGACTCTCAGTTGTCCTAGATTATCGGTGAGACCGGTCTGGGCACACCTAGGGTTCGCCGTTGGATTTTAGGCAACTTTGAAAAGTGAGGGTCTTAAAAAAAAAAAAAAAAACTAAACATAGCTAAAATATATGGACTGGTTTGTGTTGAGCTGCCATCTACTATAAATAAAGAAGGTTCAGAGTAACCTCTAAATCCTTTTTCATTCAATTTTTCTGTGCGTACAGAGGGAAATTGTTAGGTGTGTCCAGACCGGACACACTGTGCCGCAAAGGGTTAACGTATTCAGCACAAAAGGACCATTTTGCCCTTTGAATACTTTTCAAAGTCTTCTGGATTTCAGATCACAATAAATTATCTTTATTGTTATATCCTAGTGTTCTGGCGTTATTTTATTTCACTTGGCTTCCAACCACACTTTTTACGAGGTATATAGCCGTTTGGGATGTGTCCTTTTCAATTGTCCACTAGTGTATTTTCTCTTCTATTGTTCTGATCAAAACAATTATGTAAAGCACGTAAATTAAACTAGCATAATGTTTAATTTTATTTAATCTAGAAAAGCTTTTAAATCCAGATAATAGAAGTTCTACTTTCTTAATTGTATCAATATTAGACATGGCTATACAAAACTGTTTGAAATTTTACTTAATCATAAATAGTATATATTCCTATCAGCTTATTAGAACTGAGTCCATTTTATCCACTTGTAAAATTTAAAAAGCCGCCCGACCAGTATAGTGGTTTAGTGACGCTAACTGCTGTACTGATGGATCTGTGTTCGAATCTTGGAGGGTATGGATGTAGTATCTGTGCTGCCATTGTCTATACTGCATCAAAATCATTTCTTTGTGGTCTTTGTGTCGTAAGCACATATGAAATTTTGTGATCTATTTTTTACAATGAGCAATATCAAGGGTTTTCTTTTGTAAAATCTCAAAAAATATACCTGAGTGATAAAATCTTATTGAAAAACATCTCTAGGAGAAAACAGTTCTTGCAGTCACCCCAAAATTCAATGAACCCATGCACTTGTGATACACATAAAATATCCCAACCATCGCAGTTCTCTATAATATTTTCAAAAAATATAACCAATTCTTTTTTCATTTCATGCACTGTGTTAACAGTTCTTGAGCAAAAGTTCTTTATATTAGGTGCAGCTTCAGGTATCTTTTTCTCTACATGCAGTTTTTAGTGCATGAGTTCTCTTTGTAGACGTTGAAAAAAAGACAGACAAACCAGTTAATGTTTTAAAAAAACATGCGGCATTCTGTAATGCCGTGTGCAGATTGTTGCAAAACCAGATTTAAACATTGCTGTAAAAAATGTATGAGAGTGGCTTGCGGATATTTTTCTTGCACTCCTTTATTTAATCCAATTACTTGCTCTGCTATAACTGTTACTGCATCGTAAGTCTGTCCAGTAATTCAAAATCAAATTCTTTTGCAATTTTGGAAACATGCTCACATAATTCTTTAGGCATCGTTATGAAGCTGTATAAGCTTACGCCCTTAGGCGACGCCCATGCTGTACGACCAGTGATGAAATTCTGGTATCCCGAATACTTCTACCTGTACCTGTCAAATTTAATAGTTGTTAATTTGTCTATACTTTTATAGTATCATTAAATATCAGTTGCATTAAATATACTATTGTAGTATCATATTTTTAACTATGATATAATCTGCGATATTTTTAAGCGCTTATCGTGACTGAGAATTAATCTTATGCTATGCAAAATTTTATAAACAACTAATTTGATTTATCTACGTGTTGTATTATTGGCTTAAGTGATAGAAAATAAAGTTACGAATGTTATAAAATAAATGTGTAAGTTCGTACGAATAAGTACATGTATTGAATACCTATGAATAAACTACATGTGTATTGAAGAGACTGACTAGTGTTCCAAGCGAAATCCTGTGGCCATCAGAAAAGTGTGATTGTAATGTTTCGAAATAACGACACGCTTAAGAAATTTCGTCTCAGGTTGAAGGGAGATCTGCGATGATAACATATATGAACCGTGAACGTACTGGCTGGGCGCATCTGAACAGTAGACAACCGGGCGAGAGACCAGCTTAGACGTCGTCATTAATGGTGTAATTTACGTCACATCATCAAAGCTTCACCACAATGAAATAATTTAAAATTTTATCATGGGTAATCTGATTTTTCAACTAGAATTTTAATTGTGTTGACCGTTTGCGATAAGTTGACGATACTGGTTGAGAACAACTGATTTGTAAGTTTGATTAAACCTAGCAGACGATATAAAATGCTGATTTTTAAGTCAACTCAGTGGAAGCTTAGATGCAGTTACTTGAAGCGGAACTGAAGTGCCCGCAAGAACTCGGAAAAATGTATGTTATTTCCGCGTTCTTTGTAAGATTGATTCTGCGCGTAAAATGCGTAACTGTAAATTGTGTTAAATCATTAAATGGAAGCATGATATATTCTCTGAAACTGCTCATCGTAAAATTATGACTATATTAAAAAGTACCGCTGAAAAATCTTTAAAAGGGAAGTCCATTTCGATTGACGAATAACATGTAATGACCTCTTCAAAAAAAGTGCATTAACTCGTACCTTTACTAGATCACGTGACCGCCTACTTGCATGCTGCTAAATATTTAATGGAGCAGAAAGATCGACTCTCGAAGGTCATATGAATTTAAATACATTCCTACTGCTTGTGCCTTGTGCAGTTCCATGTTTCTGTTCCCACGATAAAATAATTAAAAAAAAAAAAAAAAAAAAAAAAAAAAACTAAATTTGTCTTTGTAGACAATATTCTGCACTCTAACTGTATTTACATGTTATTTTTATTGCAATTGCCTATTAGAAGTATATACCTTAAAGTTTTTGATAATATAGGCTTAATGTATTTTATTGAAGCGATTCTCGTAGGAAATTCTATGAAAACATCAGTTGTCAATTAGAGATGAACTCATCTCCCGTGTGAAAAAAAAAAAAAAATTAAATAAATAAATAAAAATAAAAATAAAAATCCTGGGGAAAAAAAAAAAATGAGGCATCTTATTTTTTTTTCCATTTTACGTTTTGAGTTGAAATTTTTTTCAGTAAGTGGAAATCACATCAACATGCAGAGTGTCTCAATGAAAATGTATTTCAGACTGAAAAAATCTTTATGGAAAAAAATTAATAAATCAATATTGACAGTTTTAGTTAGTATTTTTAAGTTTTTTATGTAAATTTTAAAGGTTTATCTTTGAATTGGTTTTTTTTTATATTAAAGCATGCTAGGCCTACCTGCCTGTAAAATAGTTGATTCATATTTTAAATAATAAGCAATATCAAAGGTTTTGTCATGCATGGGGGAAAACACGAAAATTTTATGCAGTTAACAACTCCCAAGTTAAAAATACTGGATCATTAATTCCCAAAACTGGCAAATTTTATTTTATAGCTTCCCCTCTCTTTTTGTAATGTAAATAGACATTAAAACTTGAATCTCTTTAGTAAGTTCATTCTCGAATATGTCTGCAAATTTATGTACTTAAAAGTATGGAACTGGTTATTTGAGAAACTCAATAGTTAGAAGTACGGGAGTTAGTTTAAGACCACTATTTTAGGAAATAATACCTGTAGTCTCCTTTTCGTATATCCTATCATGTATTAATTGGTAAAATTTAATTGAAAAGTTATGCTTACTAAAACATTATCAGTATTAAAATAATACTGGAATAAAAAAAACTGGACAGACACTATCCACAAAAATTTTTACTTGACCTTTAATTCTTAGGCATATTTTTCATTTACGGAAATGTTTTAAATGATGAAAGTATTTCGGCATTTTTAAATTTAAAAAAAAAAAAAAAAATCAGTATTATATTAATGACGAAATGTAACCCTTTATACATTCCCTGTCTCTATATTTATGTTTCGGAAAATTGTAAACTCATTATAAAAAATAAAGTGCAAAAAATGTAACAGCCGTACGACAAACTTTAAAGTTAGAGATCGGATTCAGGATGAGTCGTGCCTAAATTGAAAAACGAAATGTTTGCATTTCTACGTAACCTAAAAATAAAATATCAGTTTAGAGAAAGGTTTCTGATGTTAATACATTAAGTGACAAGCATTTCTATGATAATTAACGTAAGATTTATTGATCTTCCCCCCCCCAAAAAAAAAAAAATTATTCTTACAGAATTTGTGTTCTAGGAAACACTAGGCCAACTACTGGCTGATTTGGTTTAAATCGCTTTATGTTGGGAGTTCAACCCGAGTTCGATCCCAGGCGAACGGGCTAGCTACATTGTTTAGTTTTCCTCAGTACGTGTCAGTTCCCGTTAGCAAAAAGGCATTCCTTCCCTTAGGCAGAAAGCCAACGTATGCTTTGCCATATTCAAATAACCTAACCCTTACCAATGGAAAACACTGGCAGCCTTCATTATTTGCATATAGCTAACTCGTGACATTATTTGCATAAATTCAAAATTTAAAATATGAGCCAACCAATGTATTGATTGCAGTGCAAGAAACCAACCAATGCATTGTCTCGTCGTCAAGCGCAAGTATTTTCTTAAAAATGAAAATACGTTGTCGTGCAAAATGAGACTGATAATGGACTTTCTATTCTGAAAATATTTCTGTTTTAGTTTTTATCACTAACTTGTCATATAAGGCAACAGATATGGGTTTTTTGATTTATTCAATTACTTAACCTTCTTTTGCAGTTGTTTATGGC